ACAAAAAAATGTAAAATTATAATTGATACATAGATAAAAAAAAACTGAAAACCTGCGAAACAAACTCAATGAAAGTCACTGTGTAGTGATATCAGTTAACTAACATCCAACTCTTATCAGTAATAAACAAAGGTGAGAAAAAGCGACGAATAATATAACAAGAAGATGTTTTTATATTTCTTTTTTTTTTTGTTTCTTATTATTGAGCAAGCAGTACTACTAACAAGATACGAACAATAAGAGTAAAGGTAAACGAAATATTATTCACTGCTAAGAATCAAAATACATGGCGGATAGAACTAAAAAAGCCACTCTTGAATTGGATGAATCAAGAAACAGTGGAGGAAATATTCGCTTTCAATCATTACGTAGTTTACCAAAATCATGGATTATTGTTGGTGTTATTTTTTATTGTGCATCTGTACTCACTGTTGGTCTACTAGCTGGTCTTGTTCCTAAACGAACACAACATATAACTGTAATTGCGACGCCAATGCCAGTGCTACCAAATGCAACAACAGGAGCAATAGTAACAGCAACAGCAACAGCAGCAGCAACAACATCAGTCACACAAGACCCATCTCAATGTATTAATGATGAATGTAATCCACGTTTAATAAGTGATTTAACGGTTGATAGTTATGAATTAGAATATACATGTAATGATACAAGACAAACAACTGCTGAAGGACAAGTGACAATTGAATTCAGATTAAAACAACCAACTAAACAACTTATTTATCATTCAAAAGGACTGATTAAACTTGAAGAACCTGCTATATTTGAAGACGGTGTTTATCGTTTTGTTTCCATGAGAAAATATATTCCTAATGATTATATAAGTTTAAGTCTTTCAGCTGATTCTTTATTTGCACCTAATCGATATAAATTAGTACAAAAATTTGTTGTTAATTTAACTGCTACTAGTCTTGGATTTTATCGAAGCTTTTATAAAGATAATAATGAAACAATGGGGTAAATAATTATTATTAGAACAAGAAAAATTTTTATTGTTTTATTTTATTTATTTTTGTTTAGAACATTATTAGCTACAAAATTTCGACCAACTGAGGCTCGAACAGCATTTCCTTGTTTTGATGAACCACATTTAAAAGCTACATTTAAAATTAATATTATTCATCCAATGAATACTATTGCTTTATCGAATTTTCCAATTGTATGTTTATATAGAAATCTTTCTTTTTTGTAACCACACTACTTGCCTTTTTTGTCGTTTTTGAAAGATTGAAGAAAACGATGAAAATGGTTTACGCCGTACAATATTTGTCGAAACATTTGCTTTGAGTACTTATCTTGTTTCTTGGGCTATCCTTCCAGATACATATGGAAAGAAATTTGATGATAACGATGAACCAATGGTATGTGTTTTCGAGACTTCAAAATATTTCAATTTTAATTAGATGGATCTCTTTTAGGTTACAGTATGGGCTCGTCAAGAACCGACAAATAATAATCATACTTTATTAGCACTTGAAACAGCTTCGAATGCTATTCCGTTCTATAAAGATTATTTTAATACAGCTGATGCTTTACCACCTAAAATTGGTAAAGAAGATTTATTTTAAATGGATGATATTGTATTTTAATAATTAGATATTTTGGCTATATTTGATCTTGCATCGACTGCCATGGAAAGTTCAGGTCTTATCTCATTTCGTGAAGATCGTATAATATATGATGCAAAAATTGCATCAACATTTCAAAAACAACAATTTGCAGATATAGTAGCTCATGAAATTGCTCATTCTTGTAAGTTTAATTGATATCAAATTTAAATCTAGAAAGAATATTTAGGGATGGGAAATTATGTTACATGTAAGTGGTGGGATGATATATGGTTCAGTGAAGCTATGGTTAGTTGGCTTTGTCGCAAAACATTTGCAGTTAATCATGCTGATTGGAATATGGTAATACATATCTTTAATTTTTTTTTTTTTTTTCATTTTAGTGATTTTCTTTTTTTTT